AAAATAAACTCCACCTATGCCGCATCAGATATTTCCTATTGTCTTCAAGGGTCTGTGATGCAATAGTCTTAATGTATAAACCGGGAAATAGCAGAAATTAGAAGATAAAAAGGAAATTGGACCGTGGTAGAGGGTTGGTTAAAGATTTGAATTGTACCCAACAGATAAAACACAAGTTGTGATTAATTAGACAGACTTTAGGAGGCTTTTTATAATTTGTTAGGCGATGTCTTCCCTCTAGTGATAACTTCGTGTACTTAATCATCTATTTCACTGGGTAAACTTACAGATCTTGAATGGATCTTATAAATAGTTTATAAAGCGGTGTCATTTTTGACCAGAAGCTTTGAATCCGGATCAAATTGATGAGATTACGGAGAAATTAAAATGTGATCTGGGTGTTTGTGATACTGTACAGAAAGGGAGTAAGAAAGCGAATCCTGGCTCTCAGAGAAGTGCACGGGAAATTAATGACATCTAATTTAAGGGCTATCCTCACTATCATTTCTCTTCTCCGTATACCTATTAATATTTTCAAGTATCGAATATTAATTTTCTTCGACGAGACAAGCAAAGAGCAATTACGTAAAGACATTAAAAAAAACTTCAAAACCTCCTGGTTAGGAAGAGAAGTTTATCTTCTAAAAGGGAGGATATAAGATTTTGTTAAAATACAATTTATTACCAAACTCTGTCTAAATACCCTTAATGGGTACATTGTCCCTTTCGTTATGTATCCTGGCTGTAAATACAAAATTATATTTTGTCTCGTTTGTTGTACGGAGTAGTAATAATAAGTGAAAAGATTTAAAATGCCTAGACATATCCAAGAAAATCGCTACATGCGTTAAGAAATTTCAAATCTTTCTATATTTCAATAATAAAAACCAGCGTCAAAAGCTACAGAAGAGCACATTCGTGATTTTTTAGCTTGCAAACAAATTGGGTGCAGAGACAGCTCCTGTGTATCATGTAACACAACAAGTCAGAACCAAGGAGAGGAGAAGCACAATTCCCGGCGTGGGATGATTAGATTATCAGAATACAAGAAGAATGTTGTAATGTTGTGAAACTCTGATTTTGTCTGTTCTCACATCCGAATCTCTCTTCGCAGCTGGTACACATTACAGCAACTGGGCGACTTCGCAACCACCTTCACCTCTTGCCGCTAGGGGGCGCCCAACTCTCATCTTTGGCACTCCGGGGAAACTGTGCTCATCTCGTTATAAGTCATTTTGAAAATTGGTATTATGGCGTTCTGATAATTTTTGATATCACCTGAGCTGAGCTTTAACCATAAATTCTACTTAGAGATAATTAAAGACAAAAAATTCCCATGTCTCTCATGATATACATCAGGGTTTTTTTCATATCATTCAATCATTTTCCATCTTAAAATAAAAAAAAGAGAAATTTTTATTATGATTATTTTTTTTGTATACATCGATGTGGTATTTACCTATTTTATCATTTTAAAAATTCTAGTAATTGTCTTCAAAGGCATACAAATTAAGCTCTTAATAAATTGCAGCCCATTCTTGATGTCTTTTATCTATATTTTGATATCAATTTATTAATTCCGGTTCGAATTTATTGAATTGGTAATCGAGTTTGTTATATATTTGTCCAAGCCAAATAAAAAAATCGATCGAAAATCCTAGAGTTTTGCTAACCACAGGAAGAGCCTAATGTCTGTATTGATGAATAACTGATGCTGTTGTAGATGCTCCCTCGTCATATCACGGAGACTACCGTAAAGTACGAGAACAGCGTGTAATGATCATTGATGAGCCTTTTATCATACTTCCAATTGATCTCTGTCACCTAATAACTCGATAAAACCCAATATAACGTTCATCCCGAGGGGAAAAATATCCGCCGCCTGTCTGTATGTCGCCAGCCAATAATGGATCATCTTCTTAGTCACATGACAATAGGCGTTGATCATCACAGCGCATCATTATCTGCCAGCATTGGTAGAAGGCTGTGGGCGGGACTTAACTAAACTACTGCTTAAAGATCGAGAAATACCCCAAATTTGTGGAATTTATGAGAAATACCCATTACATTATTTTCATGCATCTGTAGTTAATTCAGACCTTATTAATTTCACAATGTTTCCCCTAATTTGCCAAAGAGATATTGATATTAGAGGGATATATTAAATGCTTTTAAATACATTTTGTTTTCAAAATGGAAAGTAACACGTTTTAATGTTAAATTGCTTAAAATAATTGAAAGAAAATGTGATAAAGTTTTTAAAAAAAATTAATCATAACATTTTTTGCAGGTTTTCAAAATTATTTTTAAGGTGTATGTGTGTGTATTGTGTAATTGTCGCTAATGGAGTACCTCCACACAGCCTGACATATTTATCTGTTCCAATATCACATGAGGGTCAAACTGGATTATAAGCCTGGGATTATTAATCCTATCACCAGTCTTTCTCTTTATTTCACAAATCTATGAGATCAGATTAACTCTCTCTTTAGACAATAATCCCCTAATCCAGGATCTCTTTATATGACATCTAGCTGTACTCTAAAACGGTCTAGCGAATAAGCACCTATCATTTTATTCATTTATTCTAAAGAGATCTAATCCGCGATTATCTGACAAGAAAAAAATTCAAATATTACATACATCATAACAAAAGAATTTGAAATTTAAATAATAGATAGATTAATGATTTTACAATCCTGCGATTCTATTCGAGAGACATTCTAATACACAAAAGCTGAAATCTTTTGTTTAGGGCTAAAAACAGTGTCTGGATAATCCAAAAATTTACAGTCATCAGAATTATAGAACACCAGGCGAAAGACATTGTAAAAAAATAGTTCAATTATCAATGAATTATTATTTATGTGTCTATTGAATTCAAATGAGAGAAATAAAAAAAAATCATGAATATCGATGAAAAAACTTACAAGGAAAGGAAAATAATTGCCGTCAAAATAAAAAAAACTGAAAGTTGGTCAAAATGCAGGTGGAAAATAAAGATGAAGTACAAAATGAGGGAGTAAGAAAAAGGTTTAAATTATTTTTATAGTAACAGATTAGTATTTTTAGGCCTGATCAAGGCTATCTATCCCATTTGTCAACAGGATGTATTCGGATCTTTTCAACGAAAATGAAGTAATTAATTTGTAAGGGCGAGTTTCCTGTTACTTTTGACTCCATGTGATTTTATTTAATTTTTCCCTCCGTAAAACGCTGAATTCCAAACAGCACAGGACACTTGTTACTTTAATAGATAATTAAATTACAAATGTGATCTAAGAACAGGCTAATTAAAGCAAAAGTACAAAGAGTCCCTCCTTCATTAAAGCCCGAGCCCGGCCAGTAGGGAGGAGAAAGGGGTCAAGTGTTAAAAACATTTACAGAAATTATTTTCTACCAGTTTTATGTCATCCCATCGGTAGCGAATTAAGTTAACGATGAAGACAGTCGTTTTTAGAGGCCGATTTCCCAACGGGAAGCTGAGTAGGTTTACATCACAGAAACATGTAACACTTCAATAAAGTCTGTACACGATTATAAGACGCTACTTGAAACTTAAACTACCAAGTCTTATCATTAAGACAACATCTTTCAAATCTCAACACGACCGTCTTATTAAAATGAAGAGAGGGGACCTTTCTTCTGTTATATTAAGTGAAGTTTTTTCCTGTCAAAAGAAGATTGCTGATTATGTCAACTGAAGATCTCCACGATGTGTGTGTGACATTGAACTCGGGCTCGGCATTCCTCTGGTCAGATAAATGCTACTTTTGCGACAGAACACTTCTGAAACCACTTAGGTAACATCCGTGACAATGTACAAATTACAAAACTGAAAGGCAACTCAGGCCCACGAGCACGTTCATTGTCCCTGTATACTATATTACCAGTATATTGTCTTTTCAGTTCAGGGATTTTTTTTCTCTTTTTTTTTGAAACTACGATATCTTTACAAAAAAAATCGTGTTAAATTTAACACAGTGTCAGAGAAAATATTTTTGGAACTCCATTTCTGATTTAAGAACTGTCTGACAATAACAAGGGTATAGTATTTTGACAGTAAACAGAAATGTACTATAAATATGACGGGGACTGTCCGGCCCTCTATTGATGAGTTGTGATATGATTCAGGTTTGTTTGAAAATGGACGTGATGGTATTTGAGATTTGCTCAAGAACTTCAAAGACTCAACAAACAACACTTAGAAGGTGACAATATTTGTTGTGTCCTATTTATCGAAGTGTTGAAGTCGGTTCGCGAGGATTACTTGAGAAACTGCTACTATCTGTCAATATCTTCTGACTTAATCCGTCAATGGAGGGCCTCCTGGCCAAACCGCATCTGTGACTTTAACCTTCACTAATTGTTCCCTCCTAACAATTCTCTTCGCTGGCTTTCATTCCTAACTTTATTTATTTAAATGGATAATTTAAAAAAAATGATTTATTGTAACATGGAAAGGGTTGAGACTCCGGCAAAATGATACCATCAAAGCATTTTGTAACATTAACAAAAGCTGAAATATTAATGTTCATTTTTCCTGATAAACAGTTTCTCATGCCGGAATAAATAACTTTTACACGTGTAATCAATCATAGGACTGGGGGACATATGTTAGGTGGGACGAGCCCCCAACTATGATCAGTGTGTCATGTTTTCAATGATTTCTCTCAATATCCACCCCAGGGGCTTTTGATCTTAGAGTCAAGCAATCACACGCATCAGTTTCATTTAAATAAATTTAATTCACTGTCAATCAGAACTGGTGCACAAGAGGCGATAATCTACATATTACTCTCGGGTCGATCTTAGTCGCCTGTAAGTTTCACCAAACTCCCATCTGTGTACCCTCTGTATGGATTTTTCAATGATATAAAATGCATAATGAAGCAGGAACGCCAATCACTCGGCCCGCTTCAACTTGTAAACGATTAATGTATGTTAAATATTCTTGATACTATTTGCTACGAGCAAAATAAAGGTAAAAAATCACCTACCTTGAGTGAATTTTCGGGCTTTCGATTTGGATCGCATCTTCTAGAGTCTGTCGCAAGCACGTGCATCCATATACGGTAAAAAGGAATAAAAACAGACACTTCAAAGGCTCAAATCGCTGCACGTTCGCACCTGAACGCATGCGTGTTTCTCTTTCAATAAGAACTATTACTTTCTTTAAATATCAATTATCCTATTAGATACAAACAAGCTACGGGTATTACAATGTAAGATATAGCACGGCTATCGGTATTCGATAATATATATCTAACAGTTACAATGGATTGGAAGGATTAAATGTTAAATTATTTTCATATCCAAAAAGATTACTATCTCTAGAGAAAACGGGCATAGAGTATAATCTGATTTAATATCTGACGATATCATATTTTGGCTTCCCTGGCTCTCACATTTAGAAATTTAACAATCGCTTTTTGTGGAGAATAACGGGTAATTGAAATCAAAATCGCATAAAAGAAAGGATAGACAATGCATTCTTAATAGATATCCGCCATTCAGATAAATGTCTTATTATTTAGGGGTACGAAAGAAAAATGAACAAGAATTGATACATCTGACACAACATTAAAAGGCGCCAAAATATCAGTTACATTAGTGATACAGTTTATGTACGGAGGGAGAACAATCGTCCCCCTAGGGAGCTAGGTTACAGCAGCACGTGCAGTAAAATCAGAGTCATCGCCCCTTCTTCCTCTCTCTTGTCTCCGAATTTCCGTTTTTATCCGACCACGCCTATGTACACCAGAGAACAAGACCGTATATGTTAAATATAAATTGGTTTTTATTCAATTTCAAAAAATAAATATATATGTTTGTGAAACTTAAGAAATTCAACATTACAAAAGAAATAAGATATGACACTTTATGTGACATCCAGACAAAAAACATGGGGTTTTGTCTATATATTCCTAGGTTCAGATTTCAGACACCTCCGGTGTAATATCACTTATATAAATCATTTTGGCCATTAAGATATCGGTAAACTATAAGTGGTGCTGTTTTGTACGGTTATTATTTTAGAAATAGAATAAAACACGTTTGAAGTAGGTATAAAGATGACACGTGTTCATTTAAAACTCTTCATAAAAGTAAACATTAACAAACTTTACATACCGAATTTTGTCTTCTGCACGTCTAATGCAAGCAATGTCATCAATATCTAGCTCTGAAAAGAATTCCTTTCTTATTGTAAAAGAAAAAAAATATATAGAACATATTTGAATTCGGCTAAATGTTTCCGTTTAAGTAATTTATTAGGTGTATATAAGATTTTAGAAAAAAGGGAATTTAAAATGAGAAATGCTTGATAGAACATAGAAAATATAGGGCTAATATAACACATATTTCAATGAATTGAACAGATTATAATTCTGCAACCTCAAAAGATTTTTTTTAATATAAATTGAATATTTTTATTTCAAATCGAAGGTGACTATGACGTTTATTTTGCTTTAATTTGTTCAATAAGTAATAATAAACATGAGTTGTAAAATGAAGTTGTAAAACTATTCATTTTGAAATTTAAACATTAAAACATTATTAAGAGGGATGTAGTCCTATTTACATCCTTTATATCTTTGGTGTCTCAGTGTCATCTCCTGAACAATATATTGGAATGGTCAGTATTCCTCAATGACCACCAAGGATGACGCACGGAATGGACAAGTTTTTCTTAAACAAATCATCAAAAATTATTGGAAAAAAAACTTCAAAAGTTTCTTGCTTAAAAAAGACCACTGAAGCCTTAATGAGTTAGACAAATAATCTATTTTAACAAGCGGTCATCGCCGGCCTGGGATCCCCTTGGTCTTCGTTTGATGTTTCCAGGTATTGACAGAGCGGGAACCTGTTCTTTTGTTGGTCAGTGTACAGAGAAAGCAAGGGTGATAAACAGTGTTTATTAGAGATATCAAAGAGTACACCATCCCTACTGCTAATTGTCCAAAACGGCCGAATCTATCTCGGACAAAAGAATCGAAAGTTGCATAATTTAGAAATCTAAATAACGGAATTTTCCTTTTCTCGTCCATGTATTTACATAGAGATAAAAAGGAGAATCAGCCCCATTGAGGACTGCGTCAATAACTCCTGAGAAAAGAACATCTCCCATTAGATATAACAAAGGCAGATTTCGATCCCCGGTTCTTCTTAGTAAGATAGGTAAATAAAATGGCCTGGCATAATATTTGATCTCTGACAGAGGAGTAGAGAGAGGACCATTCTCCACTTAATGATAGACAAGTCTTTATTTCCTTTTATTTCCGAATGTCCAGCATAAAGTACAAATTTTAAAGCAATAAATGATTTTAGAATCAGATTAGGATAGGAATTCTCGGATACATCATTTATCTATCAAATAAAAAAAAAGAGTTGGCTACTGCTATTTTCAAGAACAGAGATGTAAATTATTATTTTAAATGAATGGCTTTGTTTTTAATGTATAAAGTTAAAGTCAAATCCAGGCAGCTCATGACTCTTATACTCGGTTTCTCTGGTGCTATGCAGATGAGAGTCATTGACTTCCCATGGATGGGACACCAGAAATGCATAAAGCGTTAAATAACAAATCTTAGAATTACGAAGTCTAAAGAAAATTAAAGTATCAGTGGTCTTTAGCGTATACATTCATGTAATACTTTACAATTTGCAAATTTAAAAAGACGATTTAGCAATTTTTACTATATCAAAGACACCGGTTGTGCAAAAAGTAAATATATAAAACGCTTAATTTACAAAAATGCTTGAAGCTTGTGCCTGCTTTAAATTTGAAACATTTAAAGATTTTTAAATAACAATATTTTTCTAAAATTGAAAACATAAACCACCTGTTAAGTTCATAAGATCAATAATTAAGACATTTTGCCAAACAGAACCTTTGTACAGCCATGTACCTCATATTTATTAAACAGTTCATCATATCTCTAGTAACAACACTCATATTGTGCAGAAGTAGAGAAAAAGTTGTATACGCCTTCATATTAGCAAAGCTATGAAAATTGACGAACTCTTTGGTAGATATCAAATACATAAAACATGACAAGAAAGTGAGCGAAAGTGATACTTAAAATTCCTAGCGATGACAGGCAAAAAAAGGCCTTACACAAACCCATCATTTAATCTAACAATCTGGGAAAACATTAAAAAATATTTTTACTTAAGAAGAATCTCTAAACTTATTAAGGGGATTAGATAGTTAAAGCTGGATGACATTGTAATTTTTCCTGAATCTTTTCGCTGTTCAGTCTTGTCTTTGCGGTATATATTCGTACCAGGGAGCCCTCTTTATATTCACACAATATTTAATGATGCGGGGCCTGTAATTATTAATATCTACCCATCACGCTCTTAGGATGAAATGCGTTCATAGCACGGGGTAAATAATATCAAATCGGGGGGAAAGACACATATATAAAAGTCCAATAAAAATTTGATGTATTATGACAACATTAAAGCGTGTACGATACAGTCTCCCCGGGGTTGCAATGGAAAACAGAATCGTATTGTTTATTGTTAGATTGTAAACGTCTCATTGTACGCATCCAAAGTCTAAAGACAGAGTCACTTCACGGCATGTCGCGATAATCACCCTATCATCTTTCAGGGAGGTGGACGTTGCCAAATTTTAGTGAGTCGTCTGCCATGTTATGTCATATCTAAATGAACTGCGGCACATCATTTCAACAAATTATATTCGACGCCTGCGACATTATAAACAATCTTTTTCCCCAAATAATATGCCTCAAAAGACAAAACCTATCAGTGTCGGCTATCGGGCCAGTCAAACGCATTACAGAGAATCCACTTAATAACTGATTACATCAACGATAAAATTGATATTCGAGGGTCAAAGCAACAGCAGCAATTTCTTTTTTCAAATGTTCAATTACTATTATTTTTTCATGCAGTTTTTCTCTGGAGTGTTTTCCAATTTTCGTGATTAGATACGATGTACGATCGAAAGTTTAATCCCGGTGAAATGACACCAATAATGAACAGAGGATGCAAGCACGCTATTCCTCCTTACAATGGCGCCGGCTATGTTACAAAATTGACATAAAAATTTACGTTTTAATATCAATAAGATAACATTATGATCCGACTTGCCCGTCTGGGCCGCTGGAACAATGCAGGAATTATTAAAAATTCCAGTGGTATCTATTTTGACAGAGACTTAAATAGAAGTAATAATCTCTTCATTTAAACAGACAAGACAAACTGGGAATCAATCGCCTCTGACAATAGGCGAGAATTACCGCACTCGTGCTGTACTGTCCCCGGACAATGGCAAAGTTGACTCCCGTCGGGATCGGCATTCATAAAATCCTGAGGGATCAACCCATCTCCATTATGTTGCGTTTACCTTACCACTTAGGTTGATAGTAGAGTATTGTTCGAGCATTATTGTTATGTGAAGACTTTTTAAGACATTTAATATCTTGACTTAAGAACCCAGGACATCTTCTTAAGTTGTGTATCTTAAGAAGGAAATTGCATTCCCCACTGGCTACAAATTTATATTTCATTCAGGCTTAAATCTGCAGGATTCGGAAAAACATGGGTAACCATTATCCTGACATCTGCGAGATGATTAAGAACATTTTATGTCAACTAAAACATATTTTATGAACACCAACATTTTAAAGTTTTAAATCTCATGAATACATGTTACAAAGAAAATATGAAATATTACTAAAGTTGCAGAGACAGCTGTAGATATTCTGCAGACATTGTAACCTGGAAGATTACCCTTAATAATTTTTGACCATGCTCACTCCTATTTGTTTAAATCGCATATTCAGTAATTCTTCAAATGCAACATTTGACCTTTTTTTTGTTTTTGTTTTTTGTTGATATGTTTCTTTACTCACACTGCTATGTTCACAGACATGTACATGTACAAGCGTGCGTCCTTGTTATGGTTACATGACCTTGAAATCTTAGACTACATAGGGTACCAGATAGAACATGTTGCAGTCCTGGACAATCAATATGCCATTTTTTGCGAAGTTTTGTCGCAATGATAAGAATATCAG